GTAGTCGTATGCGCATTAGTCGTATGCGCGGTAGTCGTATGCGCATTAGTCGCATGCGCGGTAGTCGCATGTACTGTGGTTGCATGCGCGTAGTCGCGTGTGTAGTGCCTTAGTGGTTAGTCGTATGTCATGACATCAGGGTGCGAAATATAAGAAATTTCAAATGAGAATCAAATTTAATGTAAGTAAAATTCAAAGTAGTATAATAATTTAAATAATTTAAATATGTTTAGATCTTAATAATTATTCCATGCTGTTTTTAATATTAGAATTTCCTAATTCGTACAAACGTTTTATCAAATCATCTGTTATATATGCTCTGAACGATTGTTTATCGATATCCTTCATAAAACTGAAAAAAATTAAATATTTTATTTTAATATAAAAATAATAATAATATACGAAATAATTAAAATGCATACTTTTCTAATTTGCATAGTTTTTCAACTTGTTCTTTAATCGTTTCCATATATTTTTTTCTAATATTGTTAAACAATTCGATCAGCTGTTTTTTATTCATGCTTGTAACAGATTCTTCTGCGAATAATATTTTAATTATAATTTATAAATATTCTATTAGATATTAATGCGAGATATTAATTATTATACTCGATAAATGTAAATCTTCCATAAATTTTTGAAATGAACCAAACGATGTACAAGTTTCGAGCAATATATTATGTTGATGATTTATTTCTTCAATGCAAGGAAATGATCCTCTTGAGAGCATTTCACTATATGTTAAACTCATTATTTTAGGTTCATCCTCTTTCAATAATCCTTTCTTTCCGCATGATTTTCTACACGTTTTCAAATCAAAATTATCGTTCGTAGATTCAATTAATTTTCCGTTCTACAAATGTAATAATTATTCGATAAATAAGAGTAAAATTTAATTCTTCGATAACTAACCGTTTTCTCGTTTGGAATTGTTTTAATATCATCTAATTGTGTAATTTCTTCTTGATCAATTATCAATTGTTCATCCATTTTATCATCGTTGATAATTTCATCTTGTAATATTTTATCTTCTTCCATATTAATTGGCTCTAGTTCGTTATGTTTTAATGTTGACGTTGATATTGACGTTAATTGTTCATGATATTGCATATTTTCGTTTGTATTTTTTAAAGAAATTCCTAATTTGATATATTGTTCAATAAGATTATCTTGAATCGTTTGAATACACAAATTAATATCATCCGTGTATGTGCCATCACTATTTTGTAATTCTTGCAAGAATGTTAAACACCAGTGCAATTGTGGAATACCTGATATAATTAATTTATTATGTTTAATTAATTAATAAAATATTAATTAAATGTTATAGAAATATTATACTTGGAGATTTGTGCTGTTTTTTAGAAAACAGTAGCCATATTACACCAAAAACATGATCTTGATAATTCAGATTATCAAATGATAATGGAAATATTTTAAAGAAATACAAAACAGGTTCAAAATCATAAAGATCGATGATTTCTTTTACTTCTTGTCTATTAAAAATAATTGTTTTAAATAAATATGTTAATTTACATTTTATCTTGATATTTCTTACGGTTCTTTTTCAACATTTGATTCTATTTCTTCAATAACATCTGTTGAAATGAACTCTGGTTTATCTGATTCGACAGTTTCTTCTTCCTTATCATTTTCTAATCGAGGAATTATAGTAACTTCTGATTCTGTAAAATTTTCCGATTTAGAAATAATCGAAATTTCTTTATCTGTAGTTTTATCTTCTGATTCATCCATTTTTATTTTTTATTTTTTTATTTTTTTACTACGTATATCAAAATTTATACAGTTAACATTTTTCAAAATTTACTTAACCTTTAAAAGATTACATTTTTGATAATATTTTAATTTATAATGTTTCAATTATTTTTTTTTTCTTTTTTTTTAATCAGACATATTCATTTATTACGAAAAAATCATACGTCATAAGTTTTACAAGTTTGAATTTGAAATCGATACGAAATTGTACAAAATTAAAAACAATTCATTTTATTTTTGTATATATTGTAATTTATTAATTAATGTAAATATCTTTTTTGTTTGTTTGAAAATAATTTTTCTAGGTTTCTTTCTTGTTCATTTCGTGTTCGATCATGCCAGAATTTTTCAAATTTTCAACAATTTGTAAAATCTTTGAAATATTGTGTGGATAACCATTTATTCCTTTTAAATTTTGAAAATATGATTCTGTACATTTTACATGCTCCGTTGTAATATTTGTATAAGATTGTTTAGCAATCATCATTACTGTACTGATTACTATACCACACCTGCGAATCTAAAATATAATTATATTTGTTTTTTTATTATAATATTTTTCAATGTTCAAATTATCTACACATATATTTTAAATTATTGTAAATGTGTTATTCAAATTACCTTATCGTATTTGTCTTGTTCCTCCAACGATTTATAAAAATTAGGACACTTTACTTTAGTTTGTAAAATATCATCGATATTAACATCGTTATTATTTTTAATTAATTTAGATTGACGTATCTAAAATAATATAAAATTAAGAACAAAATATTGTAACAATATGAATCGTCAAATTTACAAAATTACATTCAACGAAGACGACGAATCTTCAGTAAGGAAACTATTATTACTGTCTTGTAAATTAATTTCCGATTGTATCAATTTATATAAACATCCACCAGGACATTGTGCGATGTCAGATAATTGTTCTAAATATTTTTTATTACATAAATCAAAAGAATATTCTGTTTTATTATTTTTCGAATAATTATTCAAAGTATCCGTCGTTCTATCATAATTATCTAATATTTTTCTCGACATAATTATATGAAATAATAATATTCATTGATAATCTTCATCGTATATTTTAATTTAAACATTTGCAAAAGTACAATTATAATTTGTTTCTAATTATAAAATCAAATATCCGTAGAAAAGATTTTCGTTTATTTCGTTGAATGAAATTTTGTAAAACAAATGATGTTTCATTAATATGGCACATTGTGTCAAAGAATTCAAACCTTCTACTTGTCAAATCTAATTACACACACAACCCTTCAGGCCCAAATAAATATTTAAATTCTTGTAAGCAGTGATTGACATTAATGTAAAAATAAATTAATTGTATTTTAATGTGAATGATATCTACGATGATGGATTGTTAAAATCGTAACTTGAGAGATGACAAATTTTATGGTTAATTTTGTTCATTATCAACGAGATAAATTATCAACGAAAATCACGAAAAAAGAAGTTAGAAATCTTATTTAATTGGGTAATGTATGATTACTTAAGAATATTTATTAAAACGTGTATGATTTATTATTGATTTGTCATTAATCTTTTAGGATTATCAACGTACAGGTTTGACATCACTAAATGACAAGAAAAGGATTCAACCGGTTACGAGTTGAGGTTTTTAATTAACAATGGCAACCCGCAGACCAGGTTTAACAAAAACCCAAGCCTTGCGTCAAGCAAAATCAGCAGCTTTAGTTAAACAATATGAGGAAAGGAAAGAAACTATTGAACCACCCAAAGTGGATTTATCAAAGAGAAGAAAAAAACCGGTTCACGAGCCGAAAAAAATTGATTTCAGTAAGCCAGGTTTGACGAAAACGATGTTAGCTCGAATGAAACATGCGGAAAAAATAAAGCAAGATTATGAACGTAAAATGGAACAGCAAGCAGCTCAAGTGGGCCGTAAGCCTAAACGAACCCCAGCACCGATTGGTGGTGATGCTAGGTTTGTAAGAAAGATATTTCAATATTAAATCAAGTGATATGATTGTTGCTTTTAAATCAGAATTGGTCGAGAAAGGGTAAAAGGAAGAGAACCTACTCAGAGACGAAAAGCATTGCCAACAATACCAGAAAAAACTCGTGAGCTTGCTAAGACTATCAAAGCAGATGTTGTTCGTGCTGAACCGATAGGTAAAGGACCGATTGACAGTATCGTTATACCACCAGGTTCAATCAAAGATAATCGTACTACGATCATCAGCATACCTCAACCAGCGGAAGTTACTCTTTCACAAATAGCCAATCGTTCGATGCAAGTTATCAGGTGCCTTAAACAAAATCGATCACATTTCTGAAATCATTTTCCATCATTTTCGATAATAATTAAACAAATAATTGCGCATATGTGAGATTAATTTAAATATCCAGACGCATATGTTAAGTTAAATGATTATTAGCGAGATCTTGGACGAACAAGACGCTGCTGAGGCTATAGCTGTACAATCAAAGCTGGATGATTTGCAACAAGCAAGAAGAGATTTTGTAGTAACCGTAGCGAATGTCAGTGGACAGGTTGCTACTTTAGAAGACATGACTGCTGTAGAACCTAGTACACCACCCAGATATCTTCAAAGGTTTTAATACCTTTAACATTGTTCTTCTTTTATTCCTATGTAATAAATTAGAGTTTTCCCTTAAAATATAAAAGAATTATAATCATCTCTTAGAGTACCGGATTTGGACGATCCTTTTCTCCGTGTTGAATATACCATAGATCATCCGATCGTTGAAGCAGCTCGTGAGTTTATGAAAAAAACCCTAGTTGCTATGAAAGAAAGCGGAGTGGCTAGGAAATTGGATCAAGAATTTAAAAGAATCGCTGACATAGAATCGGGATTGGACGTTGACGATGAATTAATTCGCGAGGAAGAACTCATACACATAAGTGACGACGATGACATTTATGTACCACCTGCTGTAACACATGCACCACCACGACGCATTTATAAGCGTCCAGAATACTTCCAATATCCAACATTTGATCCGGATGAATTAGAAAGATTTTTCAGAGGTGAACAATGCCCAGTAATACATAAACCACCATTTGGTCGAGAAGATCTTCATCCTGATCTTTGGGAACTCGATGATCCCTGGTATATACCACCCCCCGAACCTGACGTACCTGATTTCATTCAATTTGATTGAACAATTAACGTTATCGTTAATCAAAAATCATTTTATTCGCTATCCTCGCAAATTTCTATTTTTGTCCTTTGATTGCTGATTCGTTTTTTATACAAAATACACCCCATCAGCTTACTGCTATATATTTTACAATTAGTGTCAGGTCAAACTATTTAGTAAATTTGTATCTTAATTATAAGTCGAAATAAATTGGACGATAATATAATTTTTATACAACGTAAATTTATATTTTATAAACAATGGTTCTTCGATTCAAACTGCAACATTACATTTTTGTTTTTCTTTCTATTCGAGTAATTCAAAAGTTTTTAATTTTTTATTACGTGTTTTTCTTTTGCGATTTTATCTCGCAATGTTTCAACTAATCTCGGATAAAATAATCCTTTTCTGAAACAAAATAAAATGAAAATGAAATGTAAACAATTTTGAATTGTCTCGTGCAGTACCTAGTTATTACAAAACCACGTTTGAATTTTCCCGCTTTTTAGGTTAACGTATCAGAATGTTACAGATTGACATCAATTATCGATATTAAATTCGAGATATATCGAAATATGATGAAAGATGAAAAGTGACTTTGATGCTACATTTGAATTTCCCACGTCTAAGGTAAACTACCTGGTACTGTGTCATTGACTATCAACGGTGTGTAAACTTAATATAACATATATATATGTATAATACATATTTATAGAATAATAACGTTAAATTAATCTCTTTCTAATTATAAAAAGTCAACCAATATGACGAGCAGCGGTTCATCAAGTACATTGCATTCAGTGGGATCTTTATCTAAAGACAGTGAATCTCAGGTATAATAAATTAGAACATTTTTTGTAATTAATAACCAAATAGTTTGTTTAATACATTGATCAAGATCCTAACCTTAATAGATAACCTATTGATAAGATTTTGAAAAAAAGTATATATACATATACAGATATACTAGTATTATACATTAAATAAATAATACAAACAATTTATTCATTATACATTCATTTATAATTGAAATTATTTGTGATTTGATTTTTAAGAATGGAGCCGATAGATTGCGTGAAGAAAGCAGAATAGTAATAATCGGTGCTGGACTTGCTGGAATTTCAGCGGCTAGTAGATTATTAAAATTAGGTTTTAAAAATGTTATAATAATTGAAGCTGATACACGTGTAGGTGGTCGAGTATATACTACGCTATATGGTAAGTATTCAATTTCTCTTACTTCGCATTTAATAATTTATCTTTGACAAAATATTGTATATGAGAATGGTCTTTTTAACTTTTCTATCTTTTATTAATTAGCATTTTGTTCTGTTTTTAAATTTAGGAGATAACACGATTGATTTGGGTGCAGAATGGGTGTACGGTGAAAATGGAAATATTGCTTACAATATGGCTTATCCGCATCAATTGCTTGCTTCTTCCAAAGGATTGAACGATTTCGACCAATATTTATTTGGAAGGTCTGATGGCAGTTTATTTCCAGAAAAACTTAGTTCCGGAATCTTAAAGGCATATTATAATTTTTCTGAACGCTTTGAGGAAATGGTGAAATACAAAGGATCTTATGGAGATTATATGTTTGAAAAGTAAGAAAGAAACGATCATTAATGAATAATTTAATAATTATAAATCGTATATATAAGAAAATAATGAAAAAAAATCAACAACAACAACAACAAATGGTATATTTGTTTGTAGGTTGACCAAATGGTGTCAAGATAACAATGTAAGTCAAAAAGAAAAAGATCGTCTTATACAATGGATACACCTATTAGATACTTCCAAGCGATGTATACCATCATGGTATGATATTTTTTGGCAAGATGCAAGAAGTTATTGGAAATGCCAAGGAGACAATTTTCTTAACTGGAAAGAACGGGGTTTCATAAGAGTACTTGATTGTCTAGCGGTTTGTGAAAATAAAAATATTGGAAACATGCATGTTTTGTATATTGTTATATGTTTGCGCTAGTGTGTATTTTTATTTTTCTTCTTGATTTCTCAAAGTTTTTGTTTTTATATAAATCTTACTCATTGTAATTTGTTTTTTCTTATTTTAGAACAGAATCCCTAAATCTAAATATTCGCTAGATATTATGGGATTAATTAGATTCGGCATAGAATTAATCGAAATCAATTATACGAATCCTAAGGATATCGTTGTTAAAGTTAAAATTGATAAAGAGGAGCCCTATGAATATAAAGCTGATCACGTTATATTCACACCTTCTTTGGGAGTACTAAAGGAAAAATATAAAGGAATGTTTAAACCTCGTTTGCCTGAAAAAAATGCAAATGCCATAGAGGTATTGTAAATAATTAAATATATATATTTTACCATAAGAAAATATTTTTAATAGTTAATCTTAAATGAAATATTAAATATGTACAGGTTCTAGGTTTTGGTACGATACAAAAAATATTTATGGAATTTCCAACTCGTTGGTGGAGCGACGATGTTTCTGTTCTTTGTTGTCCATGGGCTGCAGAGGAAAAGATTCCATTTATACTAGAAACTAGTTCTGTATGTTATATTCATATTTTTAATTTTTATCTCTATTATTAAATATATTATTTAATTATATTTCTATTTATATAAATAAACAATTTGTTCTTTTGTTTTTTTTTTTACAGAAGTACACTTGGATATTTGATGTATTCGCTTTTTATACGATAGATCATCAGCCTAAAGTTTTGTGCGCTTGGGCTGTGAGACATAGCGCTATAGAAATAGAGGATTTATCGGATGAAGAACTTATCGAAGGATTACATTTATTACTGGAAACATTTTTTGGAAAACTCTTCGACATTCCAGAACCAATTAATGTAAAAAGGTAATCAAAATTATTAGTATAAAAATGAAATTGATTTATTTCAATATGTTTTACATTGATTGTTTTATTTATAGAACGACATGGTATAAAGATCCTTTGTATCGTGGATCCTTAAGTTTTCCAACCAAACTTGCTGCAAAAAAAGGTATAACGCCACGTGATCTTGCTAACCCAGTTATGTGTGACGACAAACCTGTATGTAAATATATTGAGATTAATCATTTGATCATTTTTCAATATTTCAATGAATTTTGTTTATTACGTTTCAGATTATATTGTTTGCCGGCGAAGCAACTCATGAAATATTTTTTGGAACTGCTCATGGAGCTATCGAAAGTGGAATGCGTGAAGCAGAAAGAATTAATTGTTATTATTGGTATGGATAAATTGTTTATAATCATTAATTATTTTTTGAAGATTTATTATTGCACATTGCATTATTACATTATGGTTTAAAATGTGACTGAATGCTCAGCTATAATTCTTTCAAATTTACGATTAACATTGCTCATTTTTATTTCATATATTTCATATTGAATTATTCAAGTTTATTAAAAATGAATTTTTCATTAATCCGTGTTTGCGCGTAATCATTAAATTAGTAAAGCTGAAACTCATTAATAAACTTTCATTTTTATGAATCAAATAGCACAAATGAACATCTTATTGTATTATAACGATTAATATGTTCTATTTTTATTGACATGCATGCTTTTTCTTAGGCAATTATAATCTCATCTTTAATCCAAAACTACGTTCTTCCTAATGAATGGATTATGGTAAACTGTGGACGTATCTCTTTGCCTCTTTCTAATTAGAAACTACTACATAACAAGTATATACATATGAATAATAAATTGTAGTATTAATCATATTATTTGACGCTTAAAATATATTTAATAGAGTATTATAATATTTAATGCATAGATTTTATAATACATCTTATTTTATTTTTTTATTTTTATGTACACACATATGTATATATATATATATATATTACTTCTCAAGATAAACAATATATCTTATAAAATATTATAGATATTTATATATTATAATATTTTTGATTATAATCGAATTAATATTATTTCCAGTTATTACGTTAGAATAGATAGATTAGATTTATTATGAATAATAAATCAATCAAGTAAATAATGCAAAAGAAATTTGATAACGTATATTACACAAATTAAGCTTACACAATTATAATAGATTATAATAATAATAATAATAATAATAAATATGATTGATTAAGGAATCCAGAACTCCAGCTATCAAAATTATCAATAAAAACAGCTATGGAAACAGAACCGATGTATACTCCAGACCTTGTAATAATTGGGGCAGGCATTGCTGGATTAACAGCTGCAAAAACTTTGGAAGATGCTAATTTTAAAAATTATCTTTTAATAGAAGGTATGTGTGTGTGTCTGCTGTGTGAGTCATTTTATTAACAGAATATTGAATTAAAAATAATTATATATTAATTTAAAAGCTCAACCACATATTGGCGGACGGATAAATTCTCAATTACTGGATGGCAAATGGATCGAACTTGGCGCACAATATCTACACGGTGACGGAAGTGAATTAGCTCAATTTTGTAAAGATAATAATATAATATTCGAAAATAAAGATAAGGATGGAGATGGTATGCTTATAACTTATAGAGGACAAACAATCGATAATGATTTAGCAGAAGAAGTTAAAAACTTTATCTATGATATGTTAGAAAAAGATGAAGAAGTCAACGAATATACTGAAGAGCCATTTGCAAACCTTGGAAGTATGTTGAGAAGTCGATTTGATGATTACTTAATGAAATCAAATGATAATCCCGAGACAAAGAAACTTAAGGAAGGAATTTTTGACTGGATCAATAGATTCCTTATAATAGATAATTCTTGTATAACGCTAGATGATTTGTCTGTGAAAAAGTACGGAGATTTCAAACGTGCTGGTGGTCCAGAAAACCTTACAATAATGTCTGGATACGAATCAGTGTTAAAAGCTATTAGCAAAGATATACCTTCTAAAAATGTACTTTTAAATACTGCTGTACAATTAATACATTGGAAACAAATTACTAAAGATGAATATGAAAAACCAATTACTTTGGTACTAGACAATTCAAGAATCGTTACTGCAAAATGTGTAATAATAACCTGTTCTCTTGGATATTTGAAAGATCATATCAAAACAATGTTTGTACCTCGTTTACCTAGGCCACATTTTTTGTCTATAATAAGCATGGGATTTGGTACGATAAATAAAATCTATCTTAATTATGGTGAACCTTGGTGGAAACCAGATGACAAAGGATTTCAATTTGTTTGGGAAAAAAATAAAGTACATATATTCGGTAAGGGAGCTATACCTCTTTGGGCTAAAGATCTTACAGGTTTTGATGTTGTGCGAAGTCATCGAGGTGTATTACTTGGTTGGATCGGTGGAAAATCTGCTCCTCTTATTGAAAATATAAGTGAAGAAGAAATTGGAATCGGTTGTACAAACTTGCTTAGGCATTTTCTTAAAAATTATGATATACCTGATGTGAAAGGATGTATTAGAACTACATGGTCCTCAAATAAATATATAAGAGGTAGTTACAGTAGCATTACGCCAATATGCGACGAGACAAACGGTACTCCGTCAGTATTGGCAAGACCAATTGGCGGTAAAATAACGGGAAAAGGTTTTAAGGTAAACGATGAGTATTATTATTATTATTATTATTATTATTTCTTTTATTATATTTTTTTTTCTTTTTTATTATAGGTTCGACCAATAATGTTGTTTGCTGGTGAAGCAACGCATGAACGTTATTATTCCACTACGCATGGGGCTTACGAAACTGGAAAAAGACAGGCTGAACTATTTCTAAAATATCATGTAACTGAAGCTTAATTTTTCTTTTCTATTTTTTATTTTGTATTTATTTGGTATTTTCTTTTCTATACTAAATTAATCATACTTATATAAAGGTTTATATAAAATTTTTCAAAATAATTCTATATTATTTAAAATGTAATACTATTAAGTCTTATATTCAAAATTACATTTATTTGGTGTTTTTTTTTCTATACTAAATTAATCATACTTATATAAAGGTTTATATAAAATTTTTCAAAATAATTTTATATTATTTAAAATGTAATACTATTAAGTCTTATATTCAAAATTAATTTTTTTGATAAATTAATCTTTTTTGTTGTTGTTTTTTTTTTTTTTTTTTAATCAAATTCATCCTTTCGCAAATCAAATTAATCCTTTTGCCAATCAAATTGATCTCATGGATGATTCGAAAGTCAAATGGTGCCATTAATTACTTGTTGTGATTTATCAATCAATCAATCAATCGATAAATTGATTGATTGATTGATTGATTAGTAACAAATTACTATTATTTTAGATAACTAAATATTTATAAACAATTATTTTTTAACACTGAATACAAAAAGTATTATAAAAATATAAAACAAACAAGATTTATTTGGCACGCGTGCCTTATTTCATTCGCGAGTGTTGTATGTTTAAATCCGTGTAAAAGTTTATTCGGAGCACAAAAACAGTACATACGTTTTTTATATACATGCAATGTATATATACATATATATATATATTTTACTGTTAAATAATATATTTATAAAATTTCTGTATAGAGTTTTATAATTCTATCGGCTTCCCTCCATCCAGCATCAATTGCACCGTGTACAGTTGAATAGAAACGTTTGCTTGTAGCTTCTCCCGCAAATAAAACCGTCTAAATAAATAAAAAAAAAAAAAAAACGAATAAAACATTAAATTAAAAACTAATATATATTTTTATAATTATAATAAATTTAGTAATCATAACATACGGGACGTTGATTTTTAATTATAGGTTCTGAAAGTTTTTCCGCCGTTGCATTTACTTTTTCAGATTCAATACTTCGAAAACTATAAGTTCCACGAAAATGTTTGTTGTGCGTCCAATTACTCCTAAAAAAAAATGATATCAATAAGAAATTGTGTTACTTTAAAAAAAAAAAAAAAGAAATTTTATTGAAATACCTTATTATTGCGTTAGCTTCTGTAATATTATAATGATTTCCCATAAAAGTGTGCAACAATTCCATGGAAGTTTTAAGAACTTTGTCATCGGGAAGAGTCTCCAAGAAACGACATCCTTTTGGTGTTACCCAACCGAGTAATAAATGAGGCTTATTTTCAACACTACCAAAGAACGTCGTATTTGTAATCCACTTTTTGTCCGGCTAAATAATTCAAAGTCATATATAATATTAAATATGCATTATAAAAAGAAAAAGAAAAAAGAAGTAAATACACATATTGTATTTACTTACATCATTTTCTATTTCATTTTTATAAGTTTCGTTGAACAGAAAATTGAATCTCCAATTTGAATTAAATTCCCACCAGGGTTCATCAAAATGAAGAAATATTTTACAAGCTGTACCAAAAGCGAGACCCTATAAAAGTTAGAAAATTATTATTAAATCATGAGTATATAAATTATTTAAAAAAAAAAGAAGAAGAAAGAAAAACATGTACATTGATAGTTGTAATTTTAGATTCCGGCAAAGAAGGAGTAAACAAAGTTTTATAATCTGCTTTCAATACACCCAAAGATGGTGTGACTATAACATGATCCGCTAAATATTCTTCTGTATTGGTATGAATTTTAATGGAATCATTTCCTGAATAATCGATATTAATTACTTCTGAGTTTAGAAGTGTTTTGTTCATTATTGGCAATTCTTTACTAGGATCTGGATATCTTTTCTGAAAATAATAACAAATATATTTATATTATATTATATTTCAAATAAAATGAAAATAATTTTGTTATAGATGAAACCATTTACCATTAGAATATCTAAAATTGTACTATATCCACGTTTCTTCCAATTAATAGAAAGATTTCCTTCGCATACTTCATATTCCATTTCTCCATTGAGCGATGGTTCGTACCAGTCGTCTGATGCAGAAAGTGAACATTCTACTAAATTAAAGAATGATAATAATTCATTTTGAAGAGTTGTATTTATTTCTGGATGATCGTTAAAGTAATCAGCGAATCTGAAATATAATTGGTAAAAATTACACGGTAAATAAAAATAATGATAAAATAAAAAAAGAAAAATATGTAATAATAAATGATAATATACTTTTGTTCCAGAAATTCACCAGCAGAAATGGTACAATCAGATAAAGTGACATTATTGAAAGCATGTTCATAAAGATTCACAGTATCTTGAAAAATTTGATCATCAAGCTTAGCACCCGTAGAATCAAACGTAGCAAAGTGCCAAGTAGAATTTTCCAACAAATCAAGAGGTGCGGCCAAATCGTATGCAATATTGTTTTTTTGTCCGTGCACCCATTGTCCACCGAGATCTATTACGTATTCACCTAAAAGAAAATAATAACAATAATAATAATTATATTAAATTACAAGATACTTACGTATTAATGCCACCGCAGCAAAATTCCGCTGATTCGCCGATCTACACCTTAAATTGTTGCGACAAATCATATAATAAAAAAACTTGATTTAAAATCGAAACAATTTCGAAATTCAAAACATTTTATTTATAAAAAGTAATCACACAATCGGATTTCGATGGAAAATGGGCCGATATAGAATTTAACATAGATTCAAAACAGTCTCTATTTTCTTTCACCTGATGCTGTTGTCATAACCCTGACGAAACCTTGACGAAACCCTGACGAAACCCTGACGAAACCCTGACGGTTGCTGTGTGCAAACAACAAGGTTGCTGAGTGCGAACAACAAGATTGCTCTTTATTGGCGCATTAGCGAAATTTTTGCTGCGGTGGCGTTAATACGTAAGTACCAATTACAATATTTAATATATTATTAATATAAATATTAAAATTACATACCAAATTGTGTAGTGTAAACACGTCCTCCAATTCTGTCTTGTGCTTCTAGGATTAGAATATTTTCAAATCCATTTTCGTATAATTTCGAAGCTGCTGCAATACCAGAAGGACCAGCACCGACAATTACGATTCTCGGAGAATGTTGACAATTAACGAAATTGTTAATCAAACGATTGAACAATAAAAATATGTAGAATATTTTCAGGAACATTGTTGAATACATCGTGCAGTAAATGTCGGTTTAATTACGAAATCACGGACAGTAGTTATTGTTCATACTTCTGAAAGAATTAGTGATAATCAGAACAGGATTGTTCTGATTTTATAGCCTTGTATTATCGGTTGAACCTTTTTATCTGTGATTTTATAAATGAATAAAGTCCAGTCTATTTATCTTCGGTTAAAGGGCAAAGAATATTAAATAAGGAGAGAGAGTATTCTTATGTAATCAAGTAATTTGTAATTAAATAAATAATTACAGATATTATTCAAATATTAACAAATATATATATATAGGGTGTTAAAATAAAAACATTCAATATATATCTATAAAACGAATTATATTAAGTAAACAAATTTAAATTAATTGTTTAAATAAATCTATTAATTATTTGAGAGAAAATTATGAACTGATTTAAAGTGATTTTAAAATAATCATCTTTTATTCGTGTTTTAATATTTAAATAATAGTACTATTATTTAAATATTGTTTAAATAAATGTAAATTATTTTTAAACTACAAATTATTTAAAAAAACAACTTTGAAATGAATTAAAATGAAACGAATGTAATGTATTAGTATTTAAATATTAATTTAATTAATATTGTAAAAAATATTAATAAAAATAAATTTTAATTAAACAAAATAATAAATGAATGAAGTATACTAACAGGAAAAGAATGAGTACGTTGCTCGTTCGACGAGTACGAAAAGAATACTAAACGGTGATATGTAAAAGCCAATGAAGCTTTTCATGTTTACTTGACGTCATTTCCCCTCTCCGAATTTAAGGGAACGATTATTAAAGCACCGATTTAAAGAATATTATTAATCTTTTTATTCTATCAATAATTTACAATACATTAAATTATAAATAATTATATTAAATAAATATCACATTAAATATTTATTTAATATAAACTAGTACCTAAATTTCGTTTTACGTTTATCTTACGTGTATTATCGGTTGCCTAATCAAGGGGGCTCATGAGATAGATAAAATATACTAATAAGATAATAAATGAATCATCTGTTTATCTCTATTTGTAATTTGATATAATACAAATTATTATTTAATGCTTTTCCTAATATAGTAATCGATATGTGCTTGTTGTTTCTGTGTGTGTATGTGAGATAGTGTTATTTAGGGTTAGAAAAAACTTTTAAAACTGAGATAAATAACATTGACCTTCTTATTCGAAAGATAGTTATGCTTAACCTTTTTGTTACTACTGACCTATATATGGAGCAACAAGGCAGCAGCTTTCATTGCGGTTACAGTTGTCAACATTTTTGATACAGTAGGTTAATGTTTTGTATAAATTTTTGATAAAAAAAACTTTTTAATTTATTCTAGAAAAAGTACAGTTCAATGTTTAATTCATAATCATTGATTTTATTTAATAATTTATATGATTACAAATAATTATTAAACATAACCTTAAATTGTAATAGAGTAATATTTTCTATACATAATAAATGTATATATATTAAAAGTAAGAATCATTTATATTATTATAAATAATAATAAATATATTTCTTGTACACCTTTATTTTCTATACATTTATTATAGAAAAAAAAAAATAGAAGTTATTGTTTTGTTAATCTCAAATATACATGAATGACAGTTTCCTATGAATAATACAGAAATAAACTTCTCTTCAGAAATACGTGTAGTAATTACTAAATAATTATGTATATACATCATAGTTTGAAAATTATTCACATATCTATATATATAGTTATATAGTTTAATGATAATCTTAGAATATAAGAGATGAAGTACAAGAAAAGAAAAAGAAAAAAGAAAAGATTGATCAGGATGTATCTTCGTTTTATTTTTCTATTGAAGATAACTCTTGGAATTGGCACTTGACTTATAATTTCGCTTAAAAAGTTGTTATCATTATTATTATTAGTTAAATATCCGTATACTATGCACGTATTCTTTAGTCGTTTAATATTTACTTAACAATGATGATGTTTCTATCAATACGTTTATATTTCATCCTTGTTTTTAATCTATTGTTTACGAGGAGCAATGTAACATCTTCCAAAAATCCAGGTTAATTATTTATTATTATATTCATATATTTAATTTATTAAACTATGTAGATAAAAATAATGAATTTAATATTTTTAGATTCTTCCAATATGTTGGACAAAATGAATCGTGTGATTTTAAATATTCATAATTCTTTTTTTAAAGAAAATATAACTAATGTTTATCGTGACAATCCATTCCTTTTAGATGCTTCTTCTTTAAATACGCATTTATCAATTAATATCAGTGGAATTAATTCAGAATATAATTCATTTTTAATGAAAAATAATAAAATGATGAATGCTGTAAATAGTAGTACACAGTACAGTCATAATCCATTCTTAAATTCAGTAATTACATCTACTTCAGCACCTTCTTTGAACAAACTAGAGAATAGTTCTAACATATTTACTAATAATATGTCTACCATAATGGATATTTCTAATCGAACAAATATTCGTAATCGAAGAAATGTTTCCAATATTAGAAGGAAGTCTGATATTAGTAAGTTTATTTTCATTTTTTTTTTAACAAGATTTATATTATTGATTTTAATGTTATTAATAAATAAAATATATTATAGAATGTGAAGAATACAATGAACAATTTCTGGTTGTATCAGAAGTACAACCTTTAGTTGCTATAGATGTACGATTTTTTCGAGTAAAAAACAACAAACAGTGTACAATGTCTGATCAACTTGTAAGTGGTGGCACAATTGCAGCACCTGGTGAATTTCCACATATGACTGCATTAGGGGAAATATTGGAGGATAGATTTTTTAAGTTTCTTTGTGGGGGCACATTAATTTCACATTATTGGGTACTTACAGCTGCACATTGTACTCGTGGGGAAAAGTAAATTGTTTTTCTACGCAATTAAAGAATATTGTTCAAGATTTATTAGTTTACATGTTGTAATAATTCATTTTATAGCAGTGGTATAAATGTTGTGAGATTTGGTCTTCATAATATAGAGGATAATAAGTCTGGAATTATGATTCATATAGAAAGAATAATACGACATCCACTTTACAAACCTCCTTTATTGTATGCAGACATAGCTCTTATTAAATTACAAAAAGCTATTAATTTTAGTTCTTCAATTAGACCAGCATGTCTTTGTCAACAGTTCGATGAGATACTTCCAAAAGCTTGGGTTAGTGGCTGGGGTGCTTTAGAATTTAGTAAGTTTATAATATATTTAATATTTAGTTGATATTATCATTTATCATAAATTTGAAAATTCTTAGGTGGTGAAAAAGTTACAAAATTGCGAAAAGCAGAACTCGATATGATAAGTAATATTGTATGTTCATTAACATACGGTAATTCCGTAAAAATCCCAGATGGTATAACACCTGGTATGATATGTGCGGGCGATCTTAATAGTTCGAGTGATATTAAAGATACTTGCCAAGGAGATTCTGGTGGACCATTACAAATACTACATCCAAGATATTCATGTCTTTATAAAGTTATTGGAATTACAAGTTTTGCCCAAGTTTGCGGGAATTCAAATTCACCTGGGGTGTATACAAGAGTCTCGTATTATCTTAATTGGATAGAGGATATTGTCTGGCCAGAGAAGCTTTAATGAATATTTTGATATCTTACAAAAAGGTACAAAATTTAATTTATTTAAATAACTGATCAATTTTAGACGGATTATACATTGTCTTTATCTGTATTTTTTTCATTTATATATATATATTTTTTTTTTGGAAAAGGACATACTTTCATTGAAAAAGTAAATATATAATTACGAACGATGATATTTATATCTGCAGTGATTTAGGAAATATATATATATATATATATATAATGTATATAAAAAAAAAAAAAACAAGTGTTGCATTGTATAACAACTATCGAATAATTTGTGTATGTAAATGCATGATCATCGATATCGTGCACATAACTGTATAGTTTGACTAGAATCTCATAGGAATAAGAATCATATGGTAGACACCGGAGAAACATTAAAAAGATAATTACAACATCACATTCTTTTCAAGATTGTTTCAATTTTAAACTCAAGATATTTTATTATCGTGTATTGTTTTCCACGTAAGGCCATCACCATATGGACCATGAGTCGAAGGAAACAGAACGTACCACCAACTTCTGAAACACAATTTAGGTGGTATATTAAATAAATAAATATGCAAATATATAAAAATAAAATTATAAATTGTTTGAATAATATTACTTTTTAACAATGCCTAAAAATAATTTCCAATTTTCCTTCGGTCCAAAATTATAAGGATTTTGATATGATTTTCCAAGCTCTTTATATTTTTTAGTTTCAGTACTATTAATGCGTGCTTCAATGCTAGTTTCTCCTCTTGTAATAAGACCTGCATGCCACCATGTAAGTGCTCCCAGTGCTGTAAACGTAGCTACACAAATTAAAGCTGCAAAAATGATTAGTCTACGTCTCCATTCCTTTTCTCTATTCTCGGCAGCTTGTTTAGCAATTTCTGCTATTTCTTCTTTGGATAAATGATCTAACGATTCTGCCTGAAAAAAAAAAAGAAAAGACATTTCTTCTATTGGTAATTATTTTAATAATAAAAATCAATTATTTAATACATAATATAAAAATATACCACAGGAATGATCTCTGTATTGTTAATACGAACTGGATGACCATCTAAATCAGCTTCGTGCGCTGGAAAAAATTCTTGATATGCTATTTCTATTCCAAATATCATAATAAATACAATTCCAACAACTGTAAAAGCCATATATTGAAAAAAGTGTCTGTGATTATAATGACCGACACAATTATTTAGCCATGCTGTAAATATAGTTAAGAAATTTATAAAAATTTCTATGTACAGGTATTGTTTTTTTCTTATTTTATATTATATAATTGTATTTGAATATTTCAAAAGGATACGACAATGATGATCCATCTTGAGCACGCATTTGTTACAAATAGAACAATGATGCGTTCTAGGAGGTTTAGGTTTAATACACTTCTTACAAATACTCACAGCCTCAGGAATAAGACCACCTTGTGGTGGATATCCTGCTGGTACGTTTACACCCATATAGTAGTGGAAACATACATTGATAAGTAGCCAATTTCCAATAATTAGTAAAAATACTGTTGCTAATGGGCTCTTTTCCCACCAGTAAGGTAACCCAATCCAATATGCAATGCATACAATGCATACTTTTAATAAAGCTACCATTACTACGCATACCTAAAGGCTGTGAAGTTTAGTAAATATATTGTGAACACTAAATTATATTAAATTATGACATTTATGCAATGAGTGATCGGTTAATTAACATAATCAATTTAAAAATAATGTTTGCTAGTTAAGAATAGTTTATCAACTGATCACTTACTGTTTTGAAATATATAAAATCAAAAGGAAAAACTTACTGGTCCTAAACAGGCAGTAAAATTTTCAACAAACCAAAACATTGGTTCCAAGAGTATATCACACACATAACTCCAATCCAAAAAGTCATTATAAAATAATGATTTACACGTTACTTGTAAACGCCACCATTTTTTCTTTATATTCAGCCTTAAATAAGAAAATCATTCATTTAATGTTTTATTTAAGACAATCACATTTTATTTAAATAATTTTACCTTATTTGCCTAGGTGCTTGTCTCAAAGACCATTGAATTCTCGCCATTTTTGTTTGTTTTTTTTTTTTTTTTACTTTGATACTAGTTTTTATTAATATTAAATATTAATAATGAAATATTAAAACATTATTTTAATATTTATTTTCATTATCTGGATAAATTTATGATACATCAATTCCATTTTGATGAAATATCTTTTGTACATTTATATAGAAAATCTTGCATTCTAGTATAGTATTTAATTACACTTTTTGACTGTATTATGATTTAAGATAAAATATTGAAATAAAATTTAAGTATAATAAATAAAGAAAAACATATTGATAATTCTACTATTAAAAGTTCTAATCGCAAGTTCCAAATTTTAACGTAAAATACTGCCTACGTTTTTAATTCTTTATCTACAAGGTTAGGTGGCGTTTACACCAATAAGATTCTTTTTTTTTAAATATACAAATCAATTTATAATATTATTTTAAAATTTAAATATCAATTTTTTATTTGAAAATAATTAATTTTTATATTGAAATTTTTTAAATATTTCCGTACATAGTTTATTTTCTAAGATTTAATTCTGTTATTATCGATTTAAGAAAAAAATCGATAAAGAACTTCGAGACATATCAAAACCATCAACAATCGATTATGTCTACAGTTTCGATTAATCGTACTGTAGTCGCACTCGCACCAGTTCGTTCCCGTCTTTTGGTTAGCGTAGTGCTTTGTCTTGACAAGTCATTTTTTTAAGGTTATGTTTGTAATCGGCACGCTTGAAACCACATGTTATAACCTATTTATTAATTGTGTTTAATTAATAGTGAAGAAATTAAATTATAAGAAAATATTAAACTCTCAAAATGGGTAAAAAAGGAAAAATTGGAAAGCAGAGAAAGGATAAATATTATCAATTAGCCAAAGAAACGGGTATGTAAATTTTTAAATATTATTATATGCCATTTTTATATATTCTTAAAAAATTACAAAATTAACTTTTTCTATTTTCTTTGTATTAATTTTTAGGTTATAGATCACGTGCAGCTTTCAAGTTAATTCAACTAAATCGTAGATTCGAGTTTCTTCAAAAATCTCAAGTATGCATAGATTTGTGTGCAGCCCCTGGTGGGTGGATGCAAGTGGCAAAACAAAATATGCCAACATCATCTATAGTAATAGGCGTTGATTTATTTCCCATCAAACCAATACCCGGTTGTATTAGTTTAGTCGAAGATATTACAACTGACAAATGTAGAGTTGCATTAACTCGTGAATTAAAAACTTGGAAAGCAGATATTGTTCTAAACGATGGAGCACCCAATGTTGGTAAAAATTGGTTACACGATGCATACCAACAAGCAGTTTTAACATTACATGCTGCTAAAGTAGCCACACAATTTTTAAGACCTGGTGGATGGTTTATTACTAAAATATTCAGATCAAAAGATTATAATCCATTGATCTGGGTATTTAAACAATTGTTCAAGAAGGTAAATAATTGTTAAATAATTCATATATATATCATCAAATATTTTATACTATAAATAAATGAATCATTGATTAATTATCTGTCTTTTACAGGTACATGCAACAAAACCTCAAGCATCTCGTAGTGAATCAGCTGAAATTTTTGTAGTCTGTAAACACTATATTGCACCTGACAAGATAGATCCTAAATTTTTAGATCCAAAATATGTATTCTCAGAATTACAATTAGAACCTACGAACAAGTTGGACGTTTTTCATCCAGAAAAACAGAAGAAAGCAAAGGCCGAAGGATATCCAGAAAATGATTACACGTTGTATCATCCAATTTCTGTCAAAGATTTTCTCAATTATGAAAATGCAGTAGAAGTACTTGAAAAAATATCTGAAATAATATTAAACGACGATGAAATAGCAAATCATGAAAAAACAACGAAGGAAATAAAAGAATGTTGTAAAGATATCAAAGTACTTGGCCGTAAGGAATTTCGTTTGTTAATTAATTGGTGGAAAGCTATGAGAAAAATATTTGTCGAATCTAAATTGGAATCAAAAGATGAAGAAAAAGAAACAACGGAAGAAACACCCATGCCTTTAACTACCGATGAATTAGAAGATTTAGAAGATAAACAAATTATGGATGAAATAGAAAAGGTTCGTGCAGAAGAACAGAAAGAATTGAAACGAAAGAAGAAAAAAGTTGCAAAGGAAAGACAAAAGTTGAACGAACGTTTGAATCTTAAAATGATTCATAAAGGAGATGAAGGACCCAAATTGGAAGAAGATGATATGTTTAGTTTAACCCAAATCAAGACCCACGAAGCATTGGCAACTGTTACAGATCAAAGTCCTGATTTTGTAGCGGAAAGTGATCATGATTCTGATGAAGATAAAAGGAAACCGAAGAAGATAGCATATGAGAAAGATAAAGGACATTTGGATAGTTCTGGGTTGTTTTACAAATCAGATGACAGTGAATCTGAAAAATCTGATGATGAAAGCACCGACAGCGACAAATCTGGATTAGGTATTATTATAATAATTAATTTCATAAATAATATATTCAACTATTTAATCAATTTGATTTATTATTTATATTTATGTTTTAGGTTTCAGTTCGTCAGAAGATGAAGAAGATAAGAATGACAAGAAGAAACGTAAAAAAAAGGTACAAACAAAGATTGAAGACGACGAAGAAACCAATCCACTGTTAACCGATCTCGATTATAGAGATAAAAAGACTAAAAGAATTCATCGAGCTCAATTATGGTTCGAGAAAGATGTGTTTAAAAATTTGGAGGATGAGAAGGATGAAGATTTTGAATTAGACAAAATGATTGAAACTTATAAGAAAAAGGGTGGCAAAATTATAGGAGAAGAGAGTAAGAAAATGAAACCAAAAGAAGACGATGATGTTGATGACACCAATATGGAATCAAACGTTGAGAGTGACGATACGGATTCTAACTACGACATGGAAGAAATGATGGCACCAGATAAACCAGTTAAAAAAGTAGGAGGAAAGGATGGTTTTGAAGTAGTTTCGAAAGAACACACTAGTAAGTAAAATAAATAAATCAATTTATTTGATCAAATATAGAGAGCCTGTAACTTGACATAGTAAATTATAATGCAATAATAAATTATTATAATAATTATTAACACATTTAAACAACGTTGAATGATACTTATTTTTAATTAATATATATTTAATATTTGATTATTTTTGTTTAAGCTGACAAAATGAAGAAACGAAAATTATCTGTGCAAGATTTGGCATTGGGTTCTCTTATGGTTCAATCAAAAAAAGCTCGACGAGATTTAATCGACGGTGCTTGGAACAGATATGCATTTAATGATACTAATTTACCAGATTGGTTTGTACAAGATGAAGAAAAACATATGAAAAAAGATGCACCTGTACCGAAGGAACTTGTAGAAGAATATGAAAAGAGAGTTGAAGATCTCAACGTTAGGCCGATCAGAAAGGTTTTGGAAGCTAAAGCTAGGAAGAAGAAACGTGCTATGCGTAAATTAGAAAAAGCTAAGAAGAAGGTGGAAAATTTAATGGAGAATACTGAATTAAGTGAACGAGAAAAATCACGACAAGTTAGAGCGTAAGTTTGCATAAATAATTTCATTAATATTGCATGTTTTATTTATATATATATATATATATGGTAACTCTTTTGTTACTAGTAAAATGTACTTAAAATTGTATGAAATTTTCTAACCCATATATGGGTTGTATTATGCAACGAAGTATGTTATAACAAAAGGGTTATATATATATAATTATAAATATACATTTACAAATTGATTTGATTGAATTTTGTAGATAAAATAATTGTAGATTATTTATTAATATATATTTTTATTTGTTATTAACAGCATATATAAGAAAGCTCATAAAGAACCGAAGAAAGAAGTGACGTACGTAGTCGCGAAAAAGCACAGCACCCAAAAGAGAGCAGTAAGGCCACCAGGAGTAAAGGGCAGATACAAAGTGGTTGATCCTAGAATGAAGAAAGATATGCGAGCAGCTAAAAGTAAAGAAAAAACAAAAGGACGAGGTAAAAAAAAGGGTCACGGGGGTAAACCACCTAGAGGAAATTCTAGAGTAGGAAAGGGAAAGAAATTTAAATAATTGTATATACAATTAATTTTTGTTAACTCCAATGATATATTACAAATGTATAATTTCATTCAAAATTTCATTTGTAATATATATATAGTTGTTTATAAGATCTTAAAATACGCTTGGAAAGCAAAGCGTAATTTCATTTATACAAAGACATATTTCTTGTATATACACATGTAATAATTTAAGTATAAAACGAACGAGTGGTGTCAACAAGCCATTACAGTTACCTGACCCTGACCTTAACTGCATTTACTTTTTCTTTGGCTTGACACGAAATTTCAATCAGAACAAATTTCGCAAGCCATGCGTTATCATTTAATAAATATATTATGATTTATAAATCATTTTATCTTATGTTTTTTTTTTGCTTTTCTTATTTTTCTTTATCTTTAATTACATTAGATAACAATTATCTGGTGGAAATAAATCAACCGTTTATTAATAATTAAATTGAGATGATTATAGCTTGGAGGGCCGATACTCTTCTCGGCATTCGGTCAAATACGACCTTGATTTATTTCAGGATACTTTCGTCGTACGTGTCTCTATGTATATATAACTATTTTACGTACAGGTATAGAATGAACACATATGTATTATATATATATATATATGTGTTTGTAGAATATGTCACGTAGCGCCGTCCTATTTTTTTTTTTTTTTTTTTTTCAGTTAAAGGAAAAATATTTTTAGAACAATTTTTTTAGGATTTATCATAAATTATCGTTAATTAGTTTACAAATTATTATTATAATTTCGAATAAATATAATATTATATTTTATTTTTATTTAACCCTTTTGGTTATATTAGCAACCCTATATATGAATGACCTTACCGACCCAAATAATAGTTGTATCAATTACAGGATACTTTGTATTTTTATTACAATTATGTTGTATTATAAATTTATATAAAATTATAAAGCATGCTATAATGAAAGGGTTAAATAAAAACGATTGTGTTCAATTATTTTAATAATTATGACAGTAAATTAATAAAACTACTTTTTATAATTGTTTAATTTACAATTCTACTGTCATAATTATTAGAACATTTAAATTAATTAAAAAAAAAAAAAAACAACAACAATGTTGACCAACCCCAATCGAATTTACACTTTCGTACGCTTAGATAAAATCAAATTACAATTAAAAATAATCAGATAGAGAATTATTACGCGAAATTGTGTGATGTCATTATCGGCATCGTTTGAAACGTCGTAGGAAGAAAGAAAAGAAGGAAGGGAATGAAGAAAAGAAGGAAGAAAGAAGAAACATGACAACGAGGATAATATTAAGACGTATTTACTATCATAGCAACCCACCTGTCTACCCCATTTCACTCTCTTCCTTTCCTTTACCTTAATACCCCTAATCTCATCCCACACAGAGGATTCTTAAAGCTACCCTGTTTTTACCCTCAATCTTTCCTTTCCTACCACCACCACCACCACTATCACTACCACCACCTTTTATCAATCCTCTTGAACACTCTTCACCTCCTCTATTAGTCACCCATTCTACTTCCTTCCTCCTGAACCCCTTCGTCCCCTTCTTCACACAGAAACCCATTCTACTTTCCTCAGTTTTTTTTATTTTTATTCTTTTCCTGTGTTCACCCTAGATATTTTCTATTCCACCACCTTCAACCAATCCTAAAGAACATTTTTAATATCATTTTCCCCTTCCCAATAACCAGCCACCCCATTCTTCTTCTTTCCTTCCTTTCTTTTCTCAACCCTCTCACCTAACAGCAATTCTACCCCCTTCTTCTTGTTCTTCGTTTTATTTCTACTCCGTTTCTCTTCTTCTTTCCTCTTATACTTTCTCTCTTTCTCTCTTTCTACTTTTTCTCCTACTCTTTCAACAACCACCACCACCACTACCACCCCTACCACCCATCTCCTCCTCCTCCTCCTCCTCCTTCTACTCTGATAGTTGCATCGAACATTCTGATGCAACTGTGGCCTGCGTAGCGTCGGGACGCAGCGGTCGATGTCAAGGACAAGGCCGATAGGTGCTATAACGTTTTATACACGTATATAGGTTTGTATCTATGTGTGTGTGTGTGTGTTTGAGAAAGTGCCGTAGAAATTTTGCTGGGCCTTTGGCCAACTTGACTGTTTTTTGTTTTCTTTTTTTATTTTATTCTATCTCTTTCTTTCTTTCTTCAGATCGATCTTGAACGTGTGTGTGTGTGTGTTTTTTTTTATTTTTGTTTTGTTTTGTTTTTATTAAGGAACAGGTGGGGAAAGAGGGCGTGGGACGAAAGGAAGAGTCCACGTCTTTTTTTAGGGGTTGATTATTTATTTTTATATTTTTGTTTTTTTTCTTTTTCTTTTTTTTGTTCATGTAGGAAAAATACATAGAACGTTGCAAATCATCGGTATGGTATTTATTTTCATCTCTTTCTCTACTACTTTTAGTCTCGGGTAAACGATAAAATAAATGGCTAAACTCGAGCTCTCTGATGCAATCTGCGTTGCGTCTCGACGCTGCAACGGGCAATGTCAAGGACGCGACTGACGGCATATACTAACAGAGAAAGATATATATATATATATATATATATATAGATAGTGTGTTTGAGAGAGAGAGAGAGAGAGAGCGAGTGAATTTGCAAAATTTATTTTTATGGCCTTTGTATGGTGTTAAGGAAAAAATATGTACAGGTAAAGAAAAGAAGATGGAAGAATTTTAAATCTCGACTAATTACTTAATGAATAATTAATTAATTAATTAATTAATTTGTTTATTTATTTATTTATCGTGAAATAATTATTTGATATGAATGTAATAGTAAAATATAATATAAGACGATTTTTATATTTTTTATATTTATTATGTTAAAAAATATGTTTGCTGTGTTTTATGAAAAAAATAATTTACAGGTAAAGGTAACAAAGGTAACAAAGGGATCGAGAAGGATCGATAAATTAATTAATTAATTAATTAATTAATTACTTTTTCTTTATCATGAATAATAATTTAATATTAATGATAAAAAAAAGAAAAGAGATTAGAAGAGTAAAGTAATTAAAAAAATTATAAAATATAATAATAAAATATAATAAAAAAATGAAATAAATAATAAATAAAAAAATGTTAGTCAAGTTAAAAATGAAGAAAAAGAAAAAAAAAACCAAAGAATTTAAAATAAATTTTTTGTTCAATTTTTCTTAACTTGACTAGAATTTTTCTAACGTTCGATCTAAATGGAAGAAAAATTTATTCTCAACCACACCTGTTATTCCTTCCACCAAATGCAAATATTTTTTTATTATTTTATTCTTTTCTTTTGTTTTTTTTTATTTTTTTTTTTTTTTGTTATTATGATAAATGTATTTTTCAATCGGAAGAAAATTGTAAAGAATCAAAAATGTTGTTCCAATTCATTAACATAATCTCGTTTTAAAACTTTAAATGAAATTTCAGACAAGACGTAGAATTTTCTAATTTCATTAAAAATACGTCTATATCAATCAAATCGAGTTATACAAAATCGAGAGAAAGAGAGAGAGAGAGAGAGAGAGAGCTTTGATTATCGACAAAGAAATGATTATTTTTTTCATGCATACAAATGAAATATTTTTCTATTGATTTGTTTATAAATCGTTGAATAGAAAAGAGACTGACGAATCGCGAAAAGATTAATTGTTATTTTTTATCGATAAGAAAATAACAAAACGTTTTTATTTTCAATCTTGTATGATTGTTATCATCTCGTCGTACCTCCTTTGAAAAAAAAAAATAAATAAAAAAATATTCTTTCGTATTATTTTTTTCATATACGATATTTTCCATTATTTTTATTTATTCTTGCACGTCGATCAAAATTTTTATTCTTTCGATGAAATTCAAATGAAAAAAAAAAAAAAAAAAAAAAATGGAAACTTTTGGAATAGAAAAAAAAAAAATAAATAAAAAACAAACGAAAGAAAAAACTTTGCACTAATTTCTAATATATAAATTTAATATATATATAAATATAGTATATAATATAATCTAACATATAAATATATAATAATTTAATAATATATAAATATCATAAATATATAAATATCATAAATATATATATATATATATATATATATATATA